TTAGATTCTGACTTGCTTTTGTCTATGGGTTCGGTTGTGTTGAATTTAAAATTGAATTTGGAATGGAATAAGATTTTGGGTAAAAATTTGTGTACACTTAGAGCCCATTTGATTGAATGTTATAATTTTTGCGTGTTACATTTAAAAAGGAAGGCTACAGACAGATAATTAATTTACAAAATGTTTCAACTGAACAACAGATATACCATAGGGATATCATACATGTTATATGACTACGGGTGGCACGATAGCTGGGTAACGAACTGGGTTCGATTCCCAAAAGGAAAAAATCTTTTTGCGATTCACAAATTGTTGGTCCGGGTCTGGGTATGAAGAGTACCTATGTAAAATAGTATGTTTGTACAAGCACGCAAGGTAAATATGAGAAAAATAAAATTGTGGGCCACTCAATATAAATAAATTACATAATGGCCTGTCAATCTCGATGACACTGGCATTTTGTTTGAACATGTTTCCATTATTACCTAAGTGTGAGAGAGCCAAGCTTCGGCATGAAGGGTTCGACCGGAGTGATACCGGCGTGAAACAACCACACCGTCGTGTTTCGCCGTGCAAGTAAGGTTACTGTCCCTCCCCCTTCCCCCATCCCTTCCCAATCCTTAAATATCCGAAACCCTTAATCTTAAAAGGTCGGCAGCGCACTCGGGACTCCTTTGGTGTTGCGGGAGTCCATGGGCGGCGACGATTGCTCACCATCAGGCAATCCGTATGATAGTTTGCCGTCCGATAATATTAAAAAAAAAACAGATATTTGAACAGGTGTAGAACGAATAAAAACGAATTATAAAAAAATTATATGAACAACGTGCTACACAAGTTTATCAAGAAATCATGTGAAGGTGGTTAAACAATACTTTTTTGTGTCTTTTTCACGTTGCCTTCTGCTGGAATCAATACTGCAGTACGTTACGGTGTTACCCTTTGCTCAACCACTGGGTCAACCGTACCTACCTACATCGTTCAAGAAGTTGATTGTTACTAATATTTTAAATGGACAAGTGTTTTTCACTTTCCTTTACACATCGGGACATCATAGGGACTATAAGTCGGGCCGCAGTATCTACAGCGGAGCAAGGACGATTTTTAACCGTTAGGTATACCTACGTTTGTTTGTACCTATTGAAATCAGTCGCGGGATAAATACCGCAAATACAACTGCTCGTATACGGTATTTTTTTAAATTTTGATAATGCAAAAATGAATTCAATCAATCATACCTACTTATTTAAAACTGTTTTAGAAATAAGAAAAATCAAATTTCAAACTATTTTTATGACAAATTGAATAAGTACCTACTTCTTTATGCGTATGAAGATGAAGTGCTTTTACGACCAAACTAATTTGTCAAAGTGATAATAAAAAACAGTTCATAGTATCAATACTATGAATATTGTTTTGTTTGACGAGTCGAAACAAATTCTTTTTACTGTGGAAACTATGTAGGTACGTAATTGTGACACCTGTGACTCAAAACTCTCGCATGAACTAGGCCTGAATACATATACCAAATTACCTACTGTATTTAAAACTAAACCTAGATAAAATAAGTACCATTACCTATATTAAGTTACTTAACAGAACAAGCAACGTTTCCACCTCAAACCTCAACGTTCCATTATACGGAATCTAGTTTCGCTTTTAGTCCACTGTCCTTGAGGTTTTTTATCTGCCATCAATTCATCACGAGAGACATGTCCGGGTGTTCAGACAAGCCGGGTACCCGGGCCCACGACAATAGGTGACGGGACCCGCGGACGAAACCCATCGTCAGCAAACGTGCTCAAAGTTTGGCACTCCCTGTCGTAAATTACGATTCGATACTATTCAACGGGCGACACAGTTTTATTTAAAAACAATTAAAAAAGTGAATTGTTAACTATCCCTGTAGAAGTGTGTTGTTAGTACCTACATATGAGTTGATTAGGACTTTCATTTATGATTTTGCAAAAAAAATCCTAAGAATATTATAAACGCGAAAGTTATATGTACCTAGTTATATTATTATCTATTTTTGTTACTGTTTCAGGTACTTATCTACAAACTACTGAACGGATTAAAATGAAATTTTGCACAGAGACAGATTATAGTTTTGGAAGAGCGCATAGGCTACTTTTTACCTTAGTAGGTACTGCGAGGGATACCCCACTTTATGTAATAGTTAATAACTACAGAAGTTTTATAACGTGGATTTTTTAATGGGAGGGAAAATCATCAAATGATTTCTCCCGCCTTGGGTGGAGCAAGAGGGAGTGTAAGACTCTTACTGTCTAAGAACTACCCGTCCTTTTCATGCTCCGGGAAGTGACTGAGGTGTCAATTCCATTTAGCAACTAAACCTTTTCAAATGAAATTTGGCAAAGGTATAGGCCATATCTTTTATTAGAATAAAGAGCTTTTAACCTATTTTTCAAGTGAAACTAAAATGGCACGTCAATGCAGAAAAATTTGCTTCATACTTACATCAAAACAACTTCTTACTCCACTCCCAACACGGAAAACGTAATTAGGTCAAACATTTTAAGCAGATTGGAGACGTATCGAAGAATTTATTGTAGGTAATTAGTTCGGTCCGAATATGGGGACATTTACGGGAGCGAGTTGGCATCGAGGCACCGCTGGCGTGTTCCCAACCCTTAGAGAGAAGTGGTCGCAGCATTTACCAGGCATTTGGCAGTCTTTCACTGCATAGTAATGTGCGTTCAATTCATGTTGCATCATTATTGGTTTTGAATAATTTTGCCACAATATATTTCATAGTTTTAGGAGATAAGGACGTGAATACATGCTAAGTTCTATGTTAATATTTCGTTCCGAAAAATGATTTCGGTATATTTTCAGATTGAAGGATGACAAAACTGTAGGTATTTATGGAAAGTTGATATTTATTTGTGTTTTTCTCTAATCTGGTATAATAAATGATGTAGCAGAAACTAAAACGGTCAATGACAAAGTTATAAGAAAAATATTGTTTATATTCATGGAGACAAAACACAAGATTGAAGATTTGATTTAACCTTTCGTACTCTTTGCATACGCACTAACAATGGCACAATGAAATGATGTCTAAAATAAAAACTCTTTAATATAAAAAAATCCTTTATTAATAAATCAAATAAATACTTAGGTACTTAATTACAATTAAATATAGAATAATCTGTGTCATTGGAATGTAATGTAAGTATAAATATAAGCTATTATATACTATTATTGTGAACTCGTGATATGTATTTGTTTAATAATACCATTTATTACTATTATTGCTTTTCATTTCTTTATAAATAAGTAAATTATTTAATTGAGATATATTGTAAACATTTCATTCCACGAAAGATTAGGCACGTGCAAATATAACATCCATTTTTTGACAGTTATATATGTTGATAGGACGAAATTATTGTTTTACAGCGTACATATTTGGGTACTTCACTAAGTCAAAAAAAACCGTTTTCGACAATTCTATGACTAATAAAATAAAAAATAATGATTCTTTTATTCATTGAATTTACGATTTATTTAATATTCATCTTTCTAGCAAATTTCCAAGAAATCATTATGGTATTTGACAGACAACAGTGACGTCACAATTTGTCAATTTTTTTTTATTTTTCATTCTTTATTTAACTTGTCAATTTTGACAATGACAAAAAATGTATTCAATTTCACTAAGTTGTCAAGTACCCAATTTCAAAGTCCATGATTGTGCTAAAAAAATAATAACACAATAATACTTTTCATAAAAATAAATCGGGAAACGAAGAGAAAATAAAAAGAGTAACATTCAAATAATTGAATTACAATAATATGGCCCATTGGTCGAATTATTCCAAAATTAAAAATAAATAACATCGACATTCCTCGGTACATTTGAATAATTATATTTTATATTTCACACGCCTGTGTACATTACAAAAAAAAAATATTACCAACTAGCGGGTCGTCTCTGCTTCGCAAATATATGCATCATGCAAGTGCCTCGGTTTCAATCACTTGTTTACTAAGCTACCTGCCATAGAATCGAAAGGTTTTCGTCTCACGACTTTCCTAAAATACTCTCTATAAGAACCTTCGACGATAAGAAACACAACGCAAAATAGAATTGACCAAATTGAACTCAAAGCCTTTTACTAGACAGTAACACTTGTAATTACTTGATCAACAAAATATTTTAGTCCAAATACAAACGTGATTACTTTCAAATTTACATTAGAGCTGCAATTTTAATTATTATTATAATAATAAATAATTCGCTAAAATATTCAAAATAAAATAATTACCATCATTTTATTATTATACTCTGATTGTAAATTTATCTATTTGACTGTATATTTTACTAATAAATTGGGTTACCATTTTTATTCACCAGATGGCGCTCTAATCTTTTCGTCCAATGGCAAAATAACTAGTGTCACAGCGTTGGGAGTTCCATTTTAGACAACTACAGAGATTGGACAAATGGCCTTTAAGCGTAATCTGGTAAGCCATAAAAACAATAGCCTCAACTGCCATAGATTAACTAATATTTAGAATTTCATTTTAGGTACATTTTTATATATCACAATTTCGTTTTACATTGCCAATTAAATAATGACTAATGTCTTTGGCACTGCACTAATTAAAAAGTAAGACCTCCTTACAAATGCATAGCCATATTCGAATTAATATTAATTAATTAAAATCTTACTAGATGGCGTTAGTAACGCTTGGCCCAAAACGCCGAAGCTATATAATTACTTCGTTAGTCTTAATGGACATTTTCTTACCACAAAATAGCTTTAAATATAGTTACATAATAAATCAAGACGGTTATTTGAATAAATACCTAAAGAATCTCAAAATGTTAGATGTTGTCGCAAACAAAATTCAAAATTAAACAGACGAGTTTGCGTTCAAAATTCAGAGACAGAAAAGAATTGAGCAACAGATTAAAATAGTTACTAAACGAAAGGACACTTCACATTATAAAAAGACGGTTATAACAAAGGAAATCAACAGATAATGTGTATGGTTTGTTCATACGTTAACAGATTTCTTGGGCGGAGGCACGCGCGGTGAATGTGAATACATCTTCTTAAATAACTCTGGTATATTGTTATCAGGAAACAAGTTTGTTAGCATCGCTGTAACAAAAACATAAATTACGTATGATAACTAACGGGAGACATACTATTTTCTCAAAATAACGACGAATTAACTGAAGCTCTACTAGGTTCAAGTCTTTACGGGACTCTTAATTCATGAGCAACTTGCGTGTCGTGGCGAGTCCTCGGATAATTTGAGTGAGAAAGACGTTATTTCCAAACAAGAGATAGTATCATCATCATAGGATCGCATTCGCATTCTTATAATGATAAAAATTTTGGATTAGATACAGGGTGTGTCCCAAAACAACACATTTTTCAACAAAAAAACTACCGCGTTATGGAACGGAGAATTTTGCCGTTTTTAGATGGAGTTTAAGAGGTCGTATTACATTCAAGTTTTTTGCTTTTACACTGTAAGTTAGCTGTCCTAGTCAGTGTGTAAAAATATATATTATAAACTTACTTTCAAGCAGCACAAATATTAATCTCCTATTGATCTCCTGGTTTTGGAACAGATCAAATACAGTCAGCAAACCTCTTCTAGCCGTGTCTGATCCCACTATGTGTCGCAAGTCATCTGAAAACAGATTGGTATTATTTTATGATTGAGAATTGATCAGTTGACAACTAGATGGCGTAAATAGCAATTACTGCAATACCTGAGCAAGCTGATAGCAAGGCAACTTTAGCGGCGACCCGCGTCCTGGCTTTCGTTGCAGCATCTCTGTTGCCGATACTCGAACTATTCCGACTAGTCAACCATTGCCTAAAATATTAACAAAACTGATTTAGATTCGAGACACAATAAAAGAATAATTGGTATGCGAACGCCGGCGTTCCCTTGGAATTTGATGAGTAGGATATTATATGCATTTATGAAATTTATCTGAAATCAATTCTTTAGTCCTAATTAATATACATCTAAAAAATTTAAAATATTTTTTTCTCGTCTTATGTAGGAATATAAATAATTTTATCATAATTTTAAATTTCGCACGTATTTCGTGAAATCGCGGAACACAGCGGACGCCATGATCGTTTTTTGATCATGAAGTCATTACGTGAGTAAACTACAGCTGTCAGTCAGTACATATTTTGAAAGCAGAACCTTTTGTTTACCAACCTTTAGTTTAAAAAATAAACACAGAGAACATTGTGCAGTTAATTATAAAACCAAGAACACTTACTTAAATGTTTTCAAATATTGGACGACGTTCCGCGGTGACGTTAGGGACGATACGAATTCAAGCACCTTTCTGTAAAAAAATATGTATATTTAGTTTTCATCAAACTTAAGCATTGATGTAAACAATTAGGTACGTTGTGAACACTAACGATTGAATCTGTAGCCTTTCTTGCTTTTGCCAGCGGCTACGCTCGCGTTATATGGATGCAATGGTAACGCATGCAAATTTTTATTAAAATCCATTGATTATTTTTTCGTGATAGAGTAACATCCATTCGTTCCTACTTTCAAAACTTTTGCATTTTAATATTAATAGGCTACAGATAATAAGTTAAAGAGAACCCAAGAATAATCGGCAAATGTAATAAAATTAAATAAATTTTCAAATACATACTTATTAACTCGGTCTGCTATCAATGTCCTGATGGGAGCTAGGAGACGTCTTCTCAACCACAGACCTCTTATACCTAATACCTCTTCGAATAGTTTCAGTGCCACACTTTCATCGTTTTCCTGCCAATAGAAAAGGGACCAAATGAACATATTGATAGGTTATATTTTTATTTATTTATTTTACAAATTAATGTACTCAAGCAAAATCATAGGTGCTGTAGACTTTTACTAGCAATTGACCCTTATGGCAATGTTAATAAGAGTCACATTGTATATAAAAAGATACTATAGTTGAGGAATGCCAGGGCATTGGGCAGGGAGCCACTGACGGCACACACCAATACTTTGGGCACGGCGCTAATTACAAAATACATTCTTATTGAAATTCAGCTACAGCCAGTAAGCATATTGATTAAAGAATTCCGATGATCCATAAACATTTCTTGAGATAAAAGGTCACTTTGATACATAAAGATACGTCATCTCTCCTATACTTATACAATGCTTGTTTCTAAGAATGGCTGATGTAGCCAACGAAACGATCAAAACCCATCAATTGTAATTGAAAAAAAAATTTTTAATTTACTTTACAATACCGTCAACGTATCTTGACGAGTCTGAAGTTAGCCGATTAGCAGCGCAGTACACAATTTTGTTCGTAAAAGATCCATTGCGCAGACAAACGGCTAACTTCAGACTCGCCAAGATACGTCGACCGTTCTGTAACTTACCTCTTGTCCATCAGAAGAATTTCCACTTTTGATGCCATCGTAATAATTTTCTTCACTCTTCCCTTGAAATACTTTAGAAATACCTAAAACCAAAATCCATTTAGTAGTTACTATGTAAAAGAGTAACAAACAAAAATCCATATATCTAGACTTCCAGTCTTATGATATAAACTTTGACGTGTATAATATTCGCAGATACCTATAAAAACCCTTACCATCCATAACGCCATCTACGGTGTTAGCGAACTGATCAGGCATATTCTTCAAAGTTCTCATACCGGCTCTCAAAGAATTCACAAGGAGAGCATCAATCTGCAAACACAGTAATAAAAATGAAAATGGAGCCGATTTCATCACGCAATGCATATAAAATAGTAAATCAACGGCAATTCTCCAAGTTGCACTGGTCCACGCTTGGTAAAATACTAACGAATTCAATCCAACATTACTTTAGACTTTAACTATGTTTTCTTACACTTTAATTGCTCTTATGACGCTACAAAAATAAACGTCATATTCTTTACGACCCTAGAGTACCAGAAAAAAAAAACATTGTTTTTAAATGTCTTAAAAATTCATTAAATTTGTAAATTGACCAAGATCAGCACAACCTGGTCAAACAGAATTAAATAAGTATATTTTCAAATCAATAAATAAAAAATAATTTATTATACGAATATTAACGAAATAATTTGAAACAACTTATAATGTAACCAAAAATAAGATAGGGCTTAACTTAAGATTGAAAAAGAGTAAACATGGAGTGTCTTTCTCGTTCTTCTCGTTAGGAATTCCACAATTTGGGAAAAGCAAATAGCTTTACTAGATGACTAATAGACAGTTTTATTCCTCATATTATAATTTTCTCACATTATTTTTGACGTTCAGAAATATCTATTATTGTCTAATTGAAATTAATTATTTGACTTTGACTTTTTGACCAATCTTCTTGAATTTTTTATACATTTAGATGGAAGAAGGACTTGGCTAACCTAAAAAAATCAATATACAGAACTTACCGTATTGCTATGTTTCTCAGTCTGATTCTCTGGACTAAGGAACCCACCCAAATAGTCAGGAGACAACAGTGTCATATACTTGGCATCTCTGGCTAAACTCGCTAAAGTTTGTAAGTAAGTGTTTAACATTCGTTTCCGGCTTTCTAAAACCGTACGAGATGTGTTCTGAAACGTTTTCTTTCCTGGGAATGGGAGGCTGCTTAATTCCGGCCACTGTGAAGAAGAAATTAAGGTTTTATTATTTGCATTTTGTTTAACGACGTGGAGCTCAATAAAATATGCAGCATACTAACATACAATTTTCGAGGAAGCTCGACTAGTTTCAAGCCTCATCGGAGCTCATATCATGAAAGTAGAACTATAAAGTAACATAGCAAATAAAATTGTCAAATGCATTAGTCAATTAGTAAGCCCAACTGTCGAGCAAGGGGCCTCGGCTTAGAATCCCATTATAATTTTTAATTTGTATTGATGATATAAATTCATACCTTATCCTTAATAGAAGAGTGTAGATCATAGAAATCGCTATATCTTCTGTATATGTGCCACACTTCGTTATCTGATAGTCTAGTCACGGCTATAGCGTATATACCAAAAGCTCGTCCTTTGTCCTGTACTAGAGCTGAAAGACAAACAGAAATATAAAACAGAGATGGCTTCTTTTGCTAGTTATGTTATGAGAAATTGTTTTAAAGTACGATTAAGAGCATACATGCGTGTTGTTACTAAGAACAAAACCTAAAAATCAAGGTCAGAACTTCAGACAGTCCTAACGCCAGGTATTTTTTTAAACGTTGCCACACATCACATACAATCTTCGCCCAGATATAGCGGATTTGGATGATTACACAGGAATTGTTCCGTATAAGCATTGAACCGTCGACACATTGCGCAGTAGCTGCTTTTGGGTGCGAAAAATCCTCCCATTATATCTCAAGCCTTCAGGGAAAGTCAGACTCTTACTGGATCCCGAGCGTACGGCGCGTAGCGTTCCGCGCGCGCCTCAAAGAGCCAATGCACCACCACAGACGGGGCCCCATTGGGCCGATGTTCAGCCGGGGTTGCGGGGTAAGCGCAATGAGTCACCGCGCCCTCGGCCCAGAGCAGGATAAGGAACGGGGGGGGGGGTTAAAAAAAAGACTCTTACTGGATAAAAACCACCCCCCTTTCTTTTCCTGCTACGAACCGGACCATGTACACCCATGTACGCCAATAGTTCACCCGGACTACAACGGGCAACTGGGTACTCGTTACGATTGTATTAATCTTCTGGACAAATTAATAAAAGTCATACTTACCAGTTTCAATAATACACGCTGACAATGGAGACATCAAGTTTTTGGCGTTCCGACTTATTTCTGAATGAGAAAGGGAAAGGTTGCTACTGTTTGCTGATGATAAGTTGGATGGGCCTGAAACACAAACAACTATACAATACAAATCACTACGTAGTATAAAATAAAGTCGCTTTTTCTGTCCCTATATCTCTATGTACGATAAAATATTTAAAACTATGCAACGAACTTGGTGCGATGTGTTTTAATACATAGAGGAACGTTGATAAAGGTGTATATAAAATGCTATAAAATCCTACATAAGTAATGAAAAGTATCATTTTTGCACCTGTGCGGAAACTAGTTATGTATAATACCAGGTACCAGGCCGTTATAGGAGGCACTTTTGTGTGTGATGCCCCGGCAAACGAGCAGACGGATCCACCTGGTAAGCATTCGGCGTTTCTCATGGTCACCCGCTACTTGGAGGGATTTGGAGATTTTAGGATTGGGGGAGAAGGATTGGGCCACCTGTAACCTCACAGTGAGGCCGTGGTATCACACTTCATAAACAAAAATTTCCGTAACCCTTAAAAAACTAATAATGATAGTAATTCTTTACCTGCGCTTTCGTTGATCATCATCCTCTGTGACATATTGCCCACAATATCGGATCTGGACCTGTTATGCCTTGTTCCAGGTACAGGGAGTACGTCGCCTGAAAACATTTAAACATACACTACCACATTTACATATAAACATCTAACACTACGCACACATAGATCGTGCGTAACAAAATATATAATCTGTAGAAACTACACTATTACATAATCTCTATTTTATAAAAGATAAGAAAGTTGTTCTGTTGCAAGGGAAGTGAAAGGGTAGGGAGAATCTTATGCATTGGTTGAACCAATATTCAATAATAATAATATTAAGAAACCTTTTTTTATAGGATGGGACGAGATGGAGTGTCAGACTCTTATTGATTAAAAACGCGCCGTTCCTGGTCCAGCTCTGTTTTGGGGCTATATATGGCAATAAAGCACTGCCCCTTTATGCCTCGACCTAAAACAGGAGAAGGAACGGAGGTGTTTGTAATCTGAAAGAGTCTGTCACTCCTTCTGACTCCACCCTGGGCAAGAAAAGTCATTTAATGATTTACCCCTCACTAAAAAGAGGCCAGGGCAGCGGTACATAATTACGCTTAACCCGTTACCGAGCCTTGGCCGCACTACAGCAAAGAAAGCTGCTATGCTAAATCGAGGCATTAATGCGGTTTGGCACTTAGTTTCGTCCTGTACTAACCCCATAAACCGGCACTGTAGCCGAGCTAGGAAAAAAGTAATCAATAATTATATTCAGAAAACTAGACTAGAGTAGACACTAGACTCAAATATGGCTAGGCCCCAATGAATGTCCTAACGCTTAGGCCATTCCAGTCTTAAACATGACTAGATGAACATAAAAGACAATATTGCAAGGCACATTGTCTTGATTTAATTTGTAATTCTATACAATGTCTATAAGAACCACATACACAAGGGAACTTCGCTCACAACAGAACATAGAACAGGGTGAACCGAAAAGAAGAAGAAGAAATGTAGGAAAAGGTATCTAGCTAGCAATGTATCATGTTGCCAATGCAAGGAGCTACTGCATACAACTACGGGTCGTTTTTCTCTCATTGGTACTAAAGTGCAAACAATATCAGTATAGAAAACCCAATTTGAAGAAACTGTGTTTTTTTTAAATAAACTTTATTTGTGGGAACATAAATTCGATTTTCAAGTACAACAGCTTCATAGCAAGTAGCTTTCGAAAACAACTTTATATTTTTGATTTTTTATGTGTATTTTTTTTTTCACACAAAAGCTACCAGTCGGGCCACTTGATGGTAAGTGATTAGTGCTTCTCTTTGACACTCGGAACAATAAATAAGTTGCAAATGCGATGCCAGTCTTAATATTATTTAAGTTGAATTGAAAACCTTTCGCTTCGTAACAATCCATTTAAAAACCAATCTTATATCTTTGAAATAAAATTGAATATCAAACAACAAATCTTCAAATCAATTTTCAGTACTAAACAGTTTGCAAATTAGAACAATGTAAGAAAAATGTGATAAGGAGGGTCTATAACTTCACTTTGAAATGTAATACCAAACGCATTGCATTTAGGTAGAGTGTGGTTCTTGTTACTTGGTACTCTTCGTGTGAGGGACCGAGGGAACGTTGAGGACTTGTTCGGCAGGTCAAACTTGTACTTCGACTTGGAGAACAACTTAGGCAACTGATTGAGACATGACTTCATTATTTTCTTGCATTTGTCTGCGCATTTTGGGGTTTATAAGTCGGGGAGAAATGGATGTTAGAAAAATTAAGTTTTTTTATACATAATTTCATTTAGAACTTACCGCTGTATTTCTTTTCTGGTTTGTCGTCCTTTTTTATATCGCTGAAACAATGTTTGATGGTTTTATTTAATTTCTAATTCTATATTAACTCAACAAAGGCATAGTATATAAAAAGTTACCTGCTTTTATCTGAACTGTCTTCGCTATCCATCATATAATCGCTTTGCCAGGATGGATCGTCCTGATAATAAAAAATGATTATTCAATAGTAATGAACTCTTTCTTCCACATCGAAACTCATCGCTGCTATTAGAGCGACCTATAACGAACTAAATAAAAAAAATCTAAGCAGCTCAATTAAACACACTTCTAATTGTTGTATCATAACAAAACTTGCCAATTGCATGTGGATTTGATAACATTACAATATTATGGTACCATCGAACTGGTCTGATGATGAAATTAGACGATTCTGGATGAAACCTTGGGCATTAGATTTGTCCATTTCTCCTCATACTTTCTAGGGAGAATTAATAATTTAAAGGTTGAAGTATAAGTGAATCTGTGGGCGTAAAGGTAGTAATAATAATAAAATCAAAATTACCTCAAGTGCATCACAAACACATTTCTGGACCTCATCAAAGCACATCACGGGATTATTGGTAAACTCTTCGCCTTCAGTCGTGATCTTCCTAACCAGCTCTCCATAGCAGTTCTCCGGTATACCCATGACAGTTGGCCTGTTAGGAGCCAAGTAGAGATCACAGAGCTCCAGTGCCGATGATCGTAAATTGTCTAGCACAGCTTTTGAAGTGTGCGGTGCGTCTGAAAAAATATAATACTAAATAATAAAAAATGATAATAGATTGTGTCATGGGTATATTTAAATGTGGGAGAGCCATGCTTCGGCACGAATGGGTCCGCTCGTCCGGAGTATATATATCGTACGGAGATACCACGGCCTCACAGAAAACCGGCGTAAAACAACCACACACGGTGAGTGAGGTTATCTAAGGCCCAATCCTTCCCCTCCGCCAATACCTCCTCTCCCTAAATCTCCAAATCCCTAACCCCTAAAAGGTCGGCAACGCACTCGCAACTCCTCCGTTGCGGGTGTCCATGTGCGGCGCTGATTGCTTACCATCAGGTAATCCGCCTGCTCGTTTGCCAAACTAAAACATACAAAAATATATACAAAAATTAAAAATAATAATTTATGTTTTAGATGAGGGATTAATCTTAAAAAAAGTTGTAAGTATAGATGGAGTGATAATTGTTACTTCTTCACATAAAAACTTGGCATAGAGATTGATTAGAATCTATAACACATAACCTTTTCCTCTTCACCCTGGCACTGCGGCCGAAGCCCCTGGAGGAAGCCAGTACAAAAACAATTATCAAAAATCTTACCAGCCTCATTTAACTCAATCTCCAACAAATATTGCGCATTCGACCTCCAAGCAGTGCTGGCTCTCAAAAACTTTAAAGACCTTGCGACCTCTTCAGATACTTTATCTGGAGTGTTAGTGTGTGAAAGGCCTTCCTGAGGTCCTAATGTCGCCCTTCTAGCTTGGATTATCCTGCTTAAGTATTGTAGAGACGACAGCTTCTGTCTGTCTTGTAGCTCCCATTCGCCTGCACTATCTCTGGAATGCTGGAAATTCGATGGTGAGAGTAGATTTTGGATCTTATAATGTCCTGGACGCTTTGTACAGAATTTCTGTCTTCAAGCACTTAATTCAATTAATTGACTGTACTTTGACTTCTGGAGTCGAAGACTAAAACTAGACTAAAAGGAATCCGGTTTCAAAAATCGTAAGAGTAAAGCTTGAATTTTAGTAAATATTTGAAGTAAAAAATACAAGGATAATTGCTACTGATGTCTCATCACATTAAGATTAAAACTGTTCAACGGGCCTCTGCGAGTTGGCTTCGACCCCTAAAGGTCAGGGATCCTGTGATCCCGTGAAAGGAACAGAACAAACAAAATAATAATAATAAAAAGAGCAATATAGGACTACGAACTCACTAATTTCTGTATATCTTTTTGAACTAGTTCCACAGTGGCATCCAATTCTTCGGCGTCGGTACAACACCTGATGACGACCAGAAACAACTCTGATGGTAGACAGGAATCCCGGCAACACTGTTAATAAACAAAATAATTCATTTACTTATTAACTTTCTTTCAAAATTCAAATATAGAACGAAAGAATGTTCATATTTGAATATATTTGTTTATTTAACTACATATTTTGTATGACTTACTTACGAAATTATTTAACGAGGTAACTTGATAAGTTTCAGCTACGTCGAGGACTCATAGTTTTTAGTCTGTCGAAAACTTCGTCAAACAGTTACGTATGAGTAAACTGTACAATATGATTATATTGTATAGAGAGGTACAGTTAATGTCTTAAATTATACTTTTCTACGATTTTTGTATGTAATCGCAATAAAGGTATGACGATTATAATGTTTTAATGTCAAATAGCGTAATTATTTCTGAACATTCAATTCATACATCATTCTATTTGCAATAATAAAAATCTATAATTAAGAATATAATTCTATTGAGAAGTTAAAATAATTCATTTTTGTCCTAGGAAACTAACTAACTCAGACTGACAAAATTTACTAATCTGACTGTCGATAAACGGAAAATCCGCCACGTCTCTTGCTAGACAGTGATACTTAAAAACCACTGAACCAGCGATTGATAACTACACTATACATAAAAACACTATAAGAAAAAACTTACACTTCGTAAAATAGTCCTATTTATATTGTCAGGGTCGCTCAACAAATTGATCATGGGCCGTAATACAACAGCGGACAACAACTCGATCAGAATCAGTTTTAACGCGTGACACCGCCACGCTTCCTCCGGCGCAACCAAATATAGAACAGCTTCGGACACTTCGCATAGTAACTCTAAAAGAAAATAACATTTAAATTGGTGTAGTTAGAGTTTATATTCGAATAAAAATTATACCTACATTTTGACAAAATACAGAAGTACTATTCTTGTATTAACACTTTATACCCTATTTTTTAAGGCATAAGGTTAGGAATTGCCTAATTATTTTTTTTTACAAAAGTATAAAGATTCCTGGCGTCTGTCAAATAAGCATGATAAATTAGAATTAAATTCATAAGTGAATACTATAAAAACAGCAATAGCAGTTGACTTGGTACTAGACAGTAGGCGTTTTAGAGCCAAGCGAAAAAAAAGTGTTTCCTTCAAGCAGGAAATATAAATGTAAGTAGTAATATTGTGGAAGAGGTAAACTTCACGAGTGGGCCGGCTCGACTGGAGTGATACCACGGCCTCATAGAAAATCAGTGTGAAACACACACACAGCGTGGCGAAGGCTCAATGCTTCCCGTCCATTTTTTGCTTACCATCAGCTAATCCCCCAATTACATAAAAAAAGTTATAATGAAATGATTACAACCATATAATCATCAATTCTTACCATATTCCTTTTCAGGGTCCATGCAATAAATATCGCGACACAGCTGTCTGTTCTCTATAGAACATTCCAGTTCGAAAAATATATCCTTCAAAGTCTTCCCACTTATGTTCTCAGAACTGTCGTAAAACTTTGATTTTCCAAATGTTTGTGCATCTGTAAATACAATGTACAATACTCACATTAGTATTTTTTTTATATTTACTTCAAACATTGTCATTATTGGTTATGACTTACATAAAATGCTTTCAATAAACCCTATACTTTGCCGTTAATAAGTCGAAATAAGAGTTGTCCATTTTCTAACAATTCTCTAGTTTTTATAACTGAAAGTAATAGCTTAACATTTTAATATGATTTCCTAAACCAATAGCATCGTAAGACTAGAAACATGTCCGCGCGTAACGTTTTGCGTGCGCCTCGAAGAACCCACCACATACGGGGCCCTACAAGGCTGATGTTCAGCCGGGGTTGCAGGGCAAACAAAAAAAAACAGGCTAGACATTTTACCTGGTGGCCAAGACAAATCAGTGTCACTTTTATTCCTTCTATGAGTTTTCCTATCATCTTGTTTCTTCGGACTTGGTCGACTTGTACCATTGGATACATCTTTAGCAGTCATCAAATCTACATGTTTCAATCTCACTCTTGACTGTTTAAATAGTTTCAAATGTGTAGTCAACTCTTCAGGAAATCGGGTGGACAGTAAGTGGATCCAATCCACACATTTCACTCTGGAATGAGATGATATAATAATATTATTTATTTAGCATTATGTTACTAAATAGAATGTGCGCGGGACAGTACAAAAGTATGTATACACAAACGTGTTTCCCCGCATTGGCGCCATATTGCCCCGCAATTTTCTTCATTCATCATTTATTCTTGGCCAAACTGCCTTTGTAACCCAATAAATATTATTGCAGACATACAATTAAAGCTAAACTAGTGACATATATTAGCTTGACAACTTGAAGAGTCTAAATGAATTTATTTTCTTTAAAAAAGATACAATATGTACAATATGTACAATATGTTTGTTTGATGTATCTGTTATAAAAACAAAATGGTGTTTTTACTTTGATATATTTATGATTGTTTTTACATGAATTGTTTACATTTTTAAAACTGTTTGTTACAAAGATGTTATCTATGCTAGTAAACATTTTATTGGTTGAAAAAATGAGAGGAAACCAAGTTAATACACAAAAATAAAAATGTTTGTAGTATATTTATGGAGTTGAGCCAATATCAACAGAGATAATTAATTTTTAATTAATTAATTAATTCATTCATTCATTATTTAAGATAACGAAGAAGTATTTTACTTTATTTAAAGGTTAATCATAATTAGAAAATAATATTTATAATCACCTATTAGCTACATTAGCACCAGCTGCCAGCACCAACCGTTTTATAGAATGGTTAGTAAGTTCCTCATCATTTGTCAGTATCTCATACCACGGGCACACATAATCATTTATAATTATCGTTATAATCTCATTCAGGAATGAATCTACGGTCTCACTGCCCGTAATTCTGTTGTCAAACTTTGGCAACGGAGTTTCTTCTTTAAATAGTTCTAGCACCTGAGAAAGATTTATGTAAATTATATCTTGTATAATAATAGACACATCTTTTATTTTCATGAATTATTGTTGTTTTCAGTCAATTCAAAATAAATTAAAACAAAAATTATTAAGTTTAAGCAAAGCAAGATTTTTCTATAGATATTAAAATATATTAACAATACCATACCTTTGGTACTTGAATAGAAAAGTTTGTCTGCTGTAATGGATCATCCAGACAATCCAAATCAACTGAGAATATACTTTTTTCGTCGTATGTAAAGTAAAGAACTGTAATAACACTGAAAATAATAAACATGAACATTTAAACTTTTTCCTTTGTTTATTGCAATAATATTCTTGTTTTATATAAAGATAACAGTGCATAAATAATAAGTAACGTGGCTTTATTGCTCATAACTGCGACCGTGTTAAATTTCCTGTCAAATTTCGCTGAATATAACTTTTGTGAAAGATGCCCTATATACATTAAGATTCAGTTACAACATTATTACCCACTTTCCAGAGCTAATATATCACTCGCCGATAACAGTATATAAGGCATAATCATAACAAACAACGTCCTAACAATAATATTATTCTTTTAAACAAGAAATTACACTTTCTTATCAACTTACCCAGCCAGAAATGAGACGATAAACGCAAGAAACGTTAAATACCACCCAAAACCAAACAATCCAGTAATAATAACAGTAACGAGACCAAACCAACTGAAAATGCTCATAACCATGTTGGAATTTTTCATAAAACAACTACAATTTACAGTATAATAACAAAATAAAAGTGAAAACAAACTTCAACGCCTTAAGTCTTGACGATTTATTTTTGTAAATCTGACATAATCTATCATTAGTCATCTGTCAAAATTCCTTGTGACATACGTTTCATTACAAGCATTGTACGCGAGAAATAATTTAGTTAGTTCCAATCTCATTTTTAATTAAAAACTCACCGAACTATTTCGGTCTCCTAGCCATAATCCAAATTCAGGCACACTGTTATAGTAGCGGTAAGACCCCTCTTTGGAGAGTGGGTTGAGAGACGCCATGGCTTCCTCGCCTCCCGCCTACCCAGGTGCTTAACGGGCAAGGCAGCTTCGGTAGGTATTCTACTTGTTCCTGTAGGATCTTGCGGGGAAACACCCGGGGGCCACCATTGTGAGGACCACCCAGAAGGCACGGTGGAGCATACAGTGCCAGTTTGCCCTGCTTGGCCTGAGCACCGCCGTTTCCCATGGGGAAGTGATCGATGGCGACCTCTCGCATCCGACCTTAGTCGAGGCCATGGTGCGGAGCGAGGGAACTGTGAAGCAGTGATGATCGCAAAGGAGGATACTTAGCGCGTGAGGGAACTATCCTCCTCATGCTCCCGCCTCTGCAGCGGATGAAACTCTGGGAGTCGCGGTTCTGCGGTTGGGGAATAAGAGTAACTCGCTGCCCGACCAAATCCAGACGGGGGCTGAAGGCTTCGGTTGAGGTTCTTTCGGCTTGCGAGGCTAGCACAATAAGAATGGGAAGAATGGGTCTCTTAATTTAGGTCAGTAAATCAGTTTTCATGATAAATAGATAAATAACGCAATAAAAATTTGCAATGTTGGCTGTCTAGTAACTAACTCGTTATTGGTTATAAAGAACGCAATAAATAATTTTATCTTTATAATAAATTATTTATTGCATTAAATTTTTCTGTTTTTGATTACTATAAGACAACCAACACTAGCATAACAGAAATGCTTATGTAATTTTAAGTTCATAATTACTCTGCCTCGCTATTGGGAGATGTCTGTTGACCGGCTTCATATACTTTAGGTGGCCCCTATCAAACTAGATACATATTAAAATATAGAACGTTATTTTTATGAACTACCAGCTATATCAGTTAATCGGGTACTTATATTAGGGTGGTGAACTGGTAAAACAGGCCAAGGGTTAAACAAAGAAACAAGATTTGCATAACAGCATTTTGATTTATTGAAATACAACACAATCATATGAACTGTTTATACAGTAGATATAGATAAAATAGCCTTGAGACTATCTAATAATACTAGTACAATAATTTTATTGTCGAACATGTCAAATTAAATATTTGAACATGATGGTTTTACACGGGAGAAGAGAATTCCTCCCCAAAACGTGTAACTGATTACGCGTCCAAAATGTTGAAGGAATGAATTAGGCTGACAAGACCACATTGCCAATGCAATCTTAATATAAATAAAGTATAATAAAGTTAATTTGAAGACTTATATAGTAGCGAATATCCAGAAAGTGCGTTAACAATTTTATTTATTACTTATCAAATTTATTAATATGTGCAGAAAAATACAGTTTTACATTAATTGCCAATTCCTTTGCCAATTATTTTACAACCTCGCAGTCACATTGAAAATCGTATTTGTTTCGATGCTTCCACATTTTAAATTACTCACTCGAACTGGCGAGTTTCTATCATACTTCTTAAAATACAATTCAATGCTTATTAAACACAAAAAATGCGTAATTATAAAGCACATAAAGGCTATGTTTCATACAGTAAAAACACTGGTGTATGGTGTTAATTGGGTACTTGATTAAGTTAAAAATAAATTAGACTATTCATAAATAATAATATACGATACATAATATTAGTTTTTTACCAGCTCATTCGCAAAAAATAATTTTATTAGAAGATGCAAACACAACATGACGCCAGCCCACACCCTCTTAGAAAATTTACAGAAAATTGTGAACTATAGCAATTCCACAAAAAGGATTAAGTTGATGAAAGAAGTAAGATATGAAGTACCCAATTATATTTAAAATGTAGACCTAATCTTTGATTGCGAAATAAAATGGTCGTCATAGTACTAGACTAGAATAATGATAAACTTATCGGGTGGAGTGCAAATATCAGCTGTTATATTCACACTTGATAAAACAAGATTGATAACGAAAAATCTTTTTCCTGACCTTCAATTTTATTGAAAAGGGATTAAGGTTTAAATTTTGAGACGAAGACTGAGACTTCCCAATGTAAATTTGGTTTAATTTATGATAAGCAAAACCGTTCCTTATCTACCACTTACACAAAGATGAAATTACTATCACATTTTAATCAGAAATAGTTTTTTTTTTTTTAAGTGTGTTGATTTAGGGACACTTTAAATTGACTATGAAACAGTTCTGAAGTTTGATTTTTATATGTAAAGAGCAAAAGCACAAAGTAAAAACAATATTTTTTATAAGGATTAAAAAACAAAAGTAGAAATTTGTTGCGTCACTTTGGCAACACTTTTAAAGTTACGGATTTTTCAGACGCATTTTTCTGATAATGTTTAAAATTTAAATAATACTATTGGACAGCAAGACTATAAGTTTATATTTGACGGACATTTTTCTTAGTATATGAATATATTCCCATACATCAATTTAATATATTGTTTTATTATTAATTACCTTTTCGTTTAAATATGGCAATACAGATAAATAATAGAAGCTTTATCACTTCAAGTTTATACAATTTTTATTCTTTTAAACATACATTCAGATCTATAATTAGTTAATAATAAAAATAAATAACTTATTAAATCATTTGCTGAATTATGCATTTCGTTATAAACCCTTTCAATGTATTTATTGAAATTCGAAGGCAATATGAAAAAGTCAAGATTGTGATTGATTACACATAGGCATAGACATAGGCAACATGAGGCTGTTTTTTTTTAATATATACAATATGTACCAGTATAATAACAGTTAAACACTATCTGTCAAACCACATTCAAAGGGTCAAACGTCTTAAAAGCCTCATTACATAAATATAAACATTAAATAATACAATCGTAATTCAAACTTTGGACCTTCACTCTGAATTGGGAGTTATAACCAAGACATAAATACCATTATCGTACACAAGGGCTATTCGACTATAACTTTGCACTTACATTTTATACGTTAATATGTTAGGCTGTAGAAAATATTATTGCTTTGTCGTATCCTACAACGCTTTGTGTACATTAGTCTAACTAGAGCCATCCCGAACAGCTGAACTGAAATAAATATGAACGAAACTCATTTGTTTTCATACACCAGTTCTAATTTTGAACGCAAGTGTCATTGAGCCTCGATCAAGTTCTTCAGCTATTCACCAGATGGCTATACTGTGCTCACTAAAACATCTAACACAAATTATCAACAAAATGTTACCAACTTAATAATAACAATCATCATAAAACTTAAATATTAATCAATGTCCATAAATAAATGTAAGTAGTTGAAATAAATTAAAAATACTTTATATTTCCCTCACTTTGCTATTACTCAAAATATACACTCATGGCAGACCCAAGATTAGTTGATAGGGATGACGACTAAATTTCTTTCATCCATCTGGTAGATTATTTGAAACCATTACACACCTTTTCTTTATTTTCTTACAGAAACAAAAACTGAAGATGTCTTATTTGTTTTCAAATATTGCGTGACGTCACTTCTAGTTGAGTTTTCTGCTTAGAAATGACGCAACTAGCTCCCACTCTTAAACTTTAAAATATTGTATCCAGGTATTGTTTCCTTGTTAAGACAAAATAGAAAAAAAACGAGTGTTATATTTTGTCATTTTCTAACAGGTGGACGAAGTAATGTAAAATTTTCATACCCTATCGTCATCCCTATACTATAGTTAGTTGTAACATTAATTTCTATACATTATTATACATCATAATCAACAAGAATATCAACAATGGACTCAATAACTACATGTAGTACTTACATACAATTGTTTGTATATTACGCATACCTAGGTATATTTATGTAATGCTTACATACATTTTGAGAGTTAGGTTCATCCCAGTATATAAGTTAGTTGAATACCATGGAGGCAGATCTTGAACCCACTGTGAAATCTTTGTATTGGGAGAAGACACAGAGCTGGAAAGAAAAACACACACAATTAATATAAGTCTGTTTGCTAGCTTCTTGCACTAACCATTGGCTCATCTCTGCATCACCCAAGGCTCGACTGGTAGAAAATGCCTTAGGTATTAAGCCTGCCGATGTAGCCATTGTGCATAAAGTTCAAATAAAATAATACAAGTGGATGGAACAATCCTACAGTAAAAATTAGCTAAAACTTTAAACTGTTCATTTATGTCACATAATCCATAAAAAAAGTTTTATGTCGTCGTCCTCGTTTCTATTTGTCAAACAAGCAGACGATTCGCCTGATGGCAAGCAATCGGCACCGCACATGGAAACACAATAGTGTGTGTTTCCATGTGCGCCAAGGAGTTAAAACTGCGTTGAGAATTGAAAGATTTAGAGATTAGAGATGCGGGGAGCTGAAGGACCTTCGGTAATTTCACAAGCACAGAGAAAAACAAGGCAAGCTTTGTTTTCTCCTGGTTTATTGCGAGGTCGTGGTATCACTAATTAAATTGTTCATATCACTTACTTACTCCACTTTTAAAGCACCAAGTTTGTCATCTATACTACCTAATATTTTAAAGAGGTAAAATTTGTAAGTTTGTTTGTATTGGATAATCTTTGGAACCGCTGGTCGGATTGCCAAAATTCTTTCACTTGTAGATAGCTACAATGTTCCTGAGTGCTATAGGCTATAAAACCTCAAGCTATGATCTAATGGAGCTCAGCAACGGGAGAAACCGCGCGAGAGTAGCTAGTATTTCATTCCTTGATACATAGATGTGTTGTGTTTCAAATGTTTCGATACATTTTCTTGAAAAGTTGAATAGCTGTTAAATTATTCAGAAAGATAGAGACAAATCTAACAATAACGTAGAATACTAAGACGATGGAAATCTGTTTCGAAGTTTATTTATTAAAATTGTAAAATGGTTCAATTAGAACAGATTTCTTTATATTTCCTTTTTATAGATTCAATATTATACGGTATTTTATTCAAGGTTTTCCTTGACGCTTTCGCTGCCTGGCGTCATTACATTTAAATAAAATTATCTGTGTAAGTACCTCATTAGGAAACAATTAATGATTTCTTCAAGTAGTTATTCACTATACAATCATTGTTATTTATCGAGTTTGATGACTGATAAACGAATCGATATAACTGTTTGCTACTACATAATCAACAAAAGGAAAATATGACATAAGCAAGTGACCAATTTATCATATTATGATATCTTAAAAACAGCAATAAAATTAGTTATAATCCACAATTTGGTAATTTGATTAATACTGCGACTGAGACGCCGAATTGTTATCAGTACTTGTTTGTCATTTTAACGTCAAAATGATAAACTGATTGTTACGTTCCTCTTCCTAGTGATAACGGAGTTTGGGCAGGTTTTAGGTTTAATACCAACCTGAAGGTCTATGGAATGCAAATATTTACCATATTGGTAACATTGATAAGGTTTCACGTAAAGCGTGTAGGTACAGAAATACCTAATCAAAATGTGTTTGGACTACATAATATTGCTCAAACAATATTTTATCTTTGGTAGATAAAAAATAACACTCCATTACATACAGGGAATTTCTTTTTACGTCATAATGACAAGTGAACAGTTTTAATAA